AGTATGCCAGGGAGGGGTCGTGAGCCACCTTCTCTGTGTGAAAAGAGAGAAAACCTATCATTTGTGAGTTTGCAGGTCTAGCAAGTGCCTATGCCAGGACACTCTAATGACCTTGGCACAGACTTCTTCCTCCCTTCTTATCCCATCCACTACAGAGACTGCGTGTGTGCGCACAGTGTCAGGAGCTCAACATCGGCATGGAAATGTAGCAGGGAGAGCCAATTAGAAAGAGAAGAAAGCGCAAACAAAAATGCAAGCAGCGCCGTTTGACATAAGATCTTCTCTCCTGACATGAATAAGCCCATCCTCCCCTTTTCTAGCTAAAAGTCAGTCCCTGGAGTTGAAAGGTATTTCAAGCTTGTCTTTCCTTGTCCTTCAATATGGGCATTCCCTCCGCCCATGACACGCATGTCTGTTCCTGCCACTTTTCCTATCAAATATGTGCGAAGATCCTGCATAATTGTTCCCTTCTCAGCTCGTGCCTTTCTTGGGTCTTAGAAATGCCAGTCTACAAAGAATAAGATGCAGAGAAAAGATGTTTTAAAGAAGCTCCTTCCATATCCTTCATCTGCCGCCTTTATCCTCAAAGAATTAAGAAAATAAAACAAACAGAAAGCACATACATAATCCACAACCCGGTGCAAATTCACTTCCTTTAACAAGAAACAGTTTGGAACACGGTAGTTTATGAGGTGAGATAATATTTTAAAAAGGATAACCTTATGAAGGATCTTAAGTGAATTTCCCACAAGATCAGATAGAGAGATGGTGACATACTTCTGAGGAGCTATAGTATCAACAGCAATTGCTAGTAAACCTGATTGTCAAATAAAAATATATGTCAAATAAAATAAAACATAAATTACTTTATGTTTTTTTAAAGGGACAGATAACAGAGGGCATCAGGTTGTGATCATCTTCAATTTAGCAAAAAATATCTTCAAGGAGATCTTTTTTTTTTCTGAAATTGAAAAGTGTAATAGAACAAAATAAATCATCATATCGGAAGGCACAAAAACATTTAGAAGATAATCTTCCTTTTAACAATGGGGATTACCATTGTGCTACATCACTGTATGCTGGGTGTAAATTTCCTCAGTCTATTTTCCATAATAACACGAGTCACATGAAAATCTCCAATAAAATGCAAGGGGTTGGTGAAAGCAGCTTTGTTTACTGTCCTCCAATAATGTAAGTTCATTTTTTTTTTTTTGTAGAAGAAATGACGTACACAGTAGACAGAGAAAAATGGTAGACCTCACATTAACTCACGAAAAAAAATCTTACAAGCAGGAAGGAACATCTGGGCCAGTAAATTACCAGGATAAAATAAGTGGCTTTGTTGATGTGGAGAGATTTAAATGGGTGTAAACAGCTGCAAATGAGACAGGGGAGCACTCAAAAAATTTAAAGAAGAGTAAGGTAATTAAAGTCAAGTGTAGCAGAAAAAAAATTACGCAGAAGTTAACATGTGGTCATATTTCTTGAAGGCTCTCCCCCAAACTGGCTGCACAGCAAAATTCAGGTGAAATGCCTGCATGGAGATTTCCTAAAGGTTAGTCATGGAAGAGTTCTCTAGAACCACATAGAGGGAGAGTGGAAAGCAGATCGGGGGGCGGGAGGGGATAATAACAAGGGAACTCATGACAAGAAAACACGTTTCCCAATGACAAAATCAAGAACCAAGAAGTTTTTAAAGAACCTTTTAGAAGCCAACACAGATTTACTGAGACTATATGTTTAGGGCCATGACCTGTAGGCAATGTTAAGCCCTTTGGATGCTCAGAGCTGTTTATTCTGACGTTAGGCACGATTGCAATAGAACTGGTTATCTCCTTGATGACTGTGTGGTGACCTCTCAGGATAGCCTAGCCACGTGCAAGGTGATCAAGAGAAAGGAGGTCCTTCCCTTGTGGAACTCATGGTATAGAAAATAAAGGGTTTTTTTCCTGCTCAAAAGTTGCTTACGAAAAGCAAATTTACACATGAAAATTGTTACAAGAAGGCATGCTGAGAGCAATGAAAAGTGACAGCATGCAGGAAAAAGATGGAAAAGGAAAACTATAAAAAACTAAGAGAAGAAGGTAAAAAGCTTGCTCCTCTGAGACCATTCAATAAAGCGACAAACAGAACTAGATTCATAGCACCAGACATCATGGCTGCATCGAATGCTGGCACCCAGCAAAACAGCCAGTGTTCATAATGCTGCTACTCAGTCACACGCTCACTCTTTCACACACACACATTATCATATGTTCATCATATCCTGCTTAAAGGACGAGAAAGCATAACACAGATTTCAGGAGAGACAACCGCAAGAACAAAAGCTCCATGCTAAGAAGCGTTAACCCAATCATCAGTTCTTGACTTTGTTGCCCAAGGTTGTTTCTGATGCTCCCGGGGCTCACCTGGGACCAGAGGAAATGCATCAGGAAGGGTGGCACGAAAGGTCGGATGTCTTTTCAGAGCATACTTTTAAATGAAAAAAAAAAAATCAATCCTGGTCACTAAAGGACTCCTTTACAAAAACAGATTTCCAACAGAGGAGGCACTGGAAACTTTATTCAGAGTCTGTGGCAGAGAGACGAAGCCACTGCACATATTTCTAAAACCCTGACTATTAATTTACTCTATGGAAGCTTTAGAAGGAACTATTCAGCTTGGTCAAGTTCAATGTCAAAGTTGAGATTCAGAAAGGTGCTGTGTGGAATTATAACCTTGATGCTGCTAAGAGGTAGAACATGTTGCCCTGCATCCCACTGCAAATTGCAGATGCCACCTCCTTGTCTGTATAATTTCTTCTGGCTCCTAAAACCTAGAGGAGTGAGTAGTGCTCACAACTCTCTTCGTAAGAATCCACTTGAGGGGGTGCATTTACCCACCCAAGTTGGGATGCTGGGTTTCTCAGATGCTGTTTTCTCTGGCTCCTACCGTCTGAGAATCACTACCCCGACCCCTTCAGGTGGGCAAACTCCATCTCCTTTGTGAGGGATTGCATCTGTTTATCCTAACTCCTTTTACATTAATGGGGTCGATTGCAATCATCATAAAATTAAAGGTTTGGCTTCCCAGTAAATTGTAAAAGGTGACTCTCAAGGCAGTAAAGGAACAGAAAGCTTTAGTTAAGGGGTAAAGTAGATGGAATAAAACAAGAGAGTGATTAGGAATTTCAAATACAGGATACCAAATTAAAATAGTGGCTGGTTTATAATGCACATGAGTGAATTAACTACAGATCACTAAACATCTTTCCCCCATGATCATTTCTTTCTTCTTCCTCTTTGTTCAGTAAAGAAAGGAAGAAAGAAAGAAAAGAAGGAGGAAAGAGGGAGGGAGGAAGGGAGGAAAAAAGAAAGGAGGATTTTCTTTATAATATATTGGGTTCAACCTTGTCAATGAAAAATATATTTTATGTCTTTAATCATTTAATGTGAATCTTGCAAATCATAATAACATTGTTTTATCTTGTAGTGAATGTGTCATTTTCTATGATGTGAGCTAATAGGAGGATGAAAATAGTAATAAAAAGAAAAATAGCATAGAGAATCAATATATACAATAATTATTTTAATTTAAAAAATACAAGGGTTCTTCCACTCACTGGGTAAACCAAATATCAAAAGCACCCTCTTACTTCCCTGCTGTGTTGATGGTATCTAGAAAATGCAAACATGACTTATTTTTGCAGAATAATCATCATGCAGTGTTAACATGATAAAACCAAGGGATTAGGCCTCATTATCATGACTTGGCATAAAATCCATTCAAGAAATATGTTCTTAGAAGGAAAAATGTACATTATGAAAATATATTGACATTTTGCCTTCGCTCCATAGGCCTTCAGGGAGCAAAGTTTCGTAGATGCCCTGATTAAAATGGAATTTTTTTTGGAGGGCCACGATGTTGAGGGTACCAGGAATCACACATCTTAGCAAGTCTAGACAGAAAAATAACGTTCGTGGGTTTTTATGTTCTTGTTTTTCCTCTCCCCATTTCCATAAAAGCTTGATTTACAAACAAACTCTACCGACTAGGAAAGAGAAGAAAGAAAACAGGTGGATTTTGCCATTCTGCACTCTCAGTGCTGAGTGTTTATGTATTCCCCTGACAAGTAGAAGGCACTAAGAGCTGAGAATGCATCAAGATGGAATAATCAAGGGGTTGATCATAATCGTGTGAGGCTGAAAATAAATTAAAAGCCTGAGTTTTGGAGCTCTTTACAATATTGTCTATATAACGTTACATTATTCAAATGGAATTTTAGAAATTTAGTGGATCAGCATTTAGCAAAGATGTCAAACTGAGCACCTCCTACTCCTTCCCAACACCATTAAAGTACAAATATCGGTTCTGTTTTTGAGGCATAACCCCCAGAGACAAAGGGAAACTGAGAGGATGCAGTAGGAAAAAAATAAAAATATGGAAGTTGCTAAACAGTGGGAGTCTGAGAAAGTTAAATCCTACACTGATTAGGAAGGAGGGGACAACAAACAGCAATCACATCTGTCCCATGGGGTTGGTCCTCTCCCCAGTTCCATGCACCTGGATGTCGGATTCCTCCCCCAGGTGTTGGATTCTTCTGTGCAAGCAGCAAAACAAAGTCTTGGGCACAGATGCAAAGGGGTGTCCCATACTGAGCACACTCGGGTGCAGGCTGAGTGCCGGGGTCTGCAGCCTCTGCTCCAGGTGTGCTCCGGAATGACAGTCAGATCCAGACCCTCCTCCCAGGAGGCTGGAAGCTCCTTTTCTGAGGAATTTGACCAAGGCACGAGGAGATGCCTGAAGCATGAGTTAATGGTGGATGTCACAAAGTCAAGGGGAAGGAAGGTGACACAGGTGAGAGTGTGCGCAGAGGTGACAGGAAAATGGGCACATCGAAGAACACCTGCTAGTCAGCGCCAGCCATTTTTGTAAGAGAGGATTATGATGTCAATAGTGCCAATTTTTTTTATAGAATACTAGAAATCCATATTTTGTATAAAATATATTGATGTCTAAAATGCTGTGACTAATTCAAAATCTTTATTACATTGTGCTGACTAAAGAGAATGTCTTTGAGGTCCAGCCTGCTGCCAGGAGCTTGCAAATTTTTTGCTTTAGGACATATTAGATACTAAAGAGACTCTGAATAATAACCTCAATTGGGATATCGAAACCATATAGCATTAGTCAGTCATGGAAGGCTGTGTTATCTCCATGTCTTAAATCAAAAAGGTTTTATTTCTTGTGCCAGGTCAGTGCAGGTAGTGGGGGTCTCTACTCTGTGCGGTCCCACAGGAATCCAGGCTTTGTCCACCATGTGGTTCTGTCATTTCTTTGGGTTTTATCCTCCTCCGCAACGAACTGTTGGAGGAGATGGAGAGAGAATACAGAGTAGATTCAATTTTATCAGACGCAAGGTGATATAATTGGATGTCAAACTACTATACTAATTTCTATTTCATCAATTACCAGTGACTTTAAACTTTTTTTTTTAAATTATACTGGACATTTGCAGTTTATCTTCTATGATTTGCTTATTCAGTGTGTTTTATAAATTGTGTTTAATTTTTTCAAATGTGGGCTCATTTTTTTTTTTTTAACAAGTAGGATATACTAGCCCGATTGCCTTTGAATCCTCCCAAACAGCCTCATGGGTTAGATTTGCTCACCGCTCTCTGTTTTTACAGGTGAGGAAAGGGGGACATGGACGAATGGTCTGTCTTACCTAAGATCATGCCACCGAAAGTGGAGGATTAGGGACTTGAAACCAGGACCCTAAATTCCATGCTATTTTCTGGAATGTTCTGTGTCTTTCCTTCCTTCCGTCTGCAGCACCCACCACAGAAGCTTGGCCAGGTGGCGGGAAAGAGCTGGGGGGGGAGGGAAAGACGTAAGAGCCAATTCTCTGCATGGCCCTGGAGTGTGGGGGGCAGGACTGTGTGAAGTGGGGTATACTTTTCACCAAAACCCTCTCTAACGTTTATGACAATGTTACCACTGACGTAGTAAGAATCACCAGAAACAGGTTACAGGACCTCATGGAACAAAATGTTAACCATTTTGGAAAATCGGACTGCCTATAAAAAGCTTTGTAAAATCTCCATCGAGGAAATGCAGTCGACTCCTTCCTTGTTGCATGCTCTACTAAGGAGTATATTGTTTGTGTATTTATAACCATTATAATTGAAAACACATTTTTTTTCTTGCTCATGGGTCATTTACTTCACTGTGTTAAATTAAGAAGGTGCAAAATAAATATCCAAGATGTCATTCACTCTGATATGTTACTTAATGTGAATATGTATGAGCTGTAAGTGGTTTGTCTAATAAGTACAGTGGGTGTGAACTCCAAGATGTTTTTTTCTCCTTCAGATGCAGAAAATAGTCTTAGAATATTTTGATGATTGACCTTTCCTTGTGATTGACATTTCCAGTTCAATTGTGCTATTGTTCTCTAGATACTAATCACTCACCACTTTTCCTGCAATAAGGAAATGTCACAGGAGGTTGCAGAAAGCATTAAATGTCACCCATGCAGATGATAATGACATTTTCTAGAAGGGGAGCCTCTTCGTGCAAAACACACTAAATCTGATTGGCCCTAAATGTTGATTCCATGATCTCTTTGTATTTGTGGTGAGGGTAATGCAAGGTGGCGTTTTGGAATTATTTTGATCGATACCTCAATTAACGCGTCACTGGAGTGAGGAGCCAGGTTCTGGATTTAGATGGCTTGGGTGGGATTTGGGGCTTCAGCACTTGCTTATTTTGTAACCATTGTCTACAGGTAAATGAATGATAAAACTAGCCCACGTGTCATCCTTACAACTTAGATCTCATCTCTCTATGGAGGGCCTGGGATAGAATATGTGACCATCTTTACACTAACACAGGATATGAGGGCCAAATATCATCTCCTAGGTACCTCCTTCTCCTGGGCACCCTTGGTCAGTGACTAACCTGAACAACTGCATGTGGCAGCCCTGCCCATGGATGTCCCATGAGTTAACACTTCATATCCCTCTCAAAATATTTATTCTTTGCAAGTGATTTTTTCTCCCTGACTGACCGGAAAGGAGAGCTGCATATGCCAATTTTCTGATTCTAACTGTGGCAAAGATTGGGGACATTTTTTTTTTATTATTATTTAAATAGTTTCACACAGAGAACATTCCTCTGGCCTTCAAAGAAACCTAGTAGAAGTCCACAGTTACTGGCCACCCCACTCTCCGTCTTCCTCCACGCATGAATGCCAATTTTGACTCTAAATCAGTAAGCTGAAACCAGTAAGCAGTGTCCACTTAGATAAAACTATGCAGTAGGCACTATTTTATGACTGCATTTCACAGTTTGGGGTATAAATCCAACACGGATAGATTCAGAGCGTGTAACACATGTGCACTTCATCTGGGTAGATCGTGGGGGGTCTGGGTCTCTGCTCCCTCGTTCTAAACTGCTGGGGGTGTCATCGTTCTTAACATTCTCTCTTCACCTAAAATGGAAGCCAGTTGCCTCTCACCTGGCAATGACACCTGAGATAGGAGCATTGCAAAACTATAATCACCTTATAATTGATGCGTTTGGATGACAGTCGTGGGTGAGGGGTGGAGAACGAGGCCATGGGTAGAGCTCCTGGAGCTGAGTCTGATGCGTCACCTGCCTTATTAGGTAAAGATATTAATACATCTTGTATCTCTCCTGATTATAGCAGGGACTCTTTCAATGCATTTCATCTAGCTAAGTTGCCCATGTTTTAAACGCCTTTTAATAACATCCACTAAACTTTTTTCTATATTCCTGCACTCTCTTGGCCGCAAAATCAATTTACAGCCATTCTTTGCTGCAGGACGAGAAAGACGCGGCCATATAAGCCGTACGAAGCTAGATTCTGTGTGTGATGGCACCCTCAAGCTTTGGCAGGACGATTTTATTCAAGTGAGAATCCTGGATTTCATGCACTTAACCACATTCCGGGACTTAAAAGTGATGCTTTTCCACCCGTCTGCTTGTCTGGCCTGATTTTCTCACCAACGCTATTGCATGGGGACTCTGGTGCTGCCTGGCGACATAGGGAAGGCCAGCGGGGAAGAGGACGCTGCCCGGAGGCCACGCCTGAGGGGGGTCGTGGCTTTATCACAGCCCACTCTCGTGGAAACCAGTGGATTCCTGGCAGAACGCATCCAGGCTCCTCAGAGCGAGAACTCAGTGCCGTCAGAACAGCGCGGCGCCATCCATGCGGGATCTGCCCCCAAGACCCAGACACCTGCCACTGGGCCCCACCTCCCAGACACTGCCATGTTGGGCATCGGATTCCAACGTGAGTTTGGCGGGGACAAAGGGAAACTGCAGCGAGCAGGGACCAGGCAGCCCCCGACCGACCAGTGCCCGGCATCCCTTGCGATAGACCATCATCCCGATCTCACTTCTGAAATACTCGGGGATATTTGTAACCCTTTTGAGTGCGATGGCATCTGGTATGTATTCTGCCTCCCTGGCTGAGTAAACAGCGCCACTCCACACAGTCCCCTGTTTCGGAGCCCCAGGCTCTGCGCTGTAAGCAGGGGGCAGGCGTGCATTGGGGGTGCTCCTCAGAACCAGGGGTCCTCCCCGACCCTCCTGGACTGGTTCCCAGGTCATATGAGTATTTACCATAATCAGCTGAATAAAGGAAATTATTCTAGAAAATTGGGTGGGCTTCAGTCTACCAGATGAAATGACATAAGGGCAAGGTTAAGGTTTCCCTGAGGAAGAAGAAATTCTGCCTGTGGACTATAGCCTCCGCCACTCCTCACCCCGGACCTGCCTGCCTGCCTTTTCTGACAACCCGCCCTGCAGACTGCGTATTTGCCTAGCCACCCCCGCAACCATGCCAGCCCATTCCTAGAAATGAATCTGTCTCTGTCTCTCTCTCTCTCTCCCCTATCTTTCCTTCCTTCCCTCTGTCTGTCTCTGTTTCTCCATCTTTCTTTCTCCTTCTCTTTCTCCCCTTCTTCCCTGCCCCCTTCTCTCTCCCTTCCTGCTGGTTCTATTTCTCTGGAGAACCCTGACAACCTCCAGCCATATCTGTTAGCTGGAGTCACTAGGATCTGGTCAGATCCTCACCCCGCTAAAACTCTCCCCCAAATATGTTAAGACACCACAACCTGCCTAGACACGTATGTGAAAAGCAAAGCCAGGTGCCTGTTTTGGTTCAAGACTGTATGTCTCTTAAAAAATAAACAAACAAACCAATAAACAAAAATACCCAAAGCCTAATGTGGCCAGAACTTTTCTAAAATCCACAAGTTTGTAAAATACTTCAACCAAAGTGATATGCCTCATATATTGTTATAAAAAGGTAAGTTATGAAAGTGAATGATGGGGGAAGCGTGTATGTGATAAAGTTTCCTCCTTCCTAAGCAAAGTATTTCCTATATGAGTGGATGGTGTTTCTTGTTTCTTTCCCCACAGAAGAATAATCTACTATTGGAAATATGAAAAACGTCTAAAAATATCCTCATCGTCCCTCATAAGTCATCATCATGAATAACATTTTTGCTTTAACTGGATTTATGCTACTTAACTGGATTTGTTAGTGGCAATTGGCAGTTAGTTATTGTGCTAATAGCCAATGGTGACTGTAACTGGGTGTCAAGTTAAATTGTGCTTTGGAACCAGAATGACAAGTCCGGGGACGCGTCATGTCCCAGACCAGTGTCTGCCAACTACCTCCCCACACTGGCTTTTTTTTTTTTTTTCTACAAGACAGGGGAAAGATATTTCATGGTTTATATCACCAATATATAATCAATGGGAGACAAGGCAGCTCCTAAAAGACAGGTCTGACCTGGGTGGACTGTGACATTTGAACTTTGAAACGAAAGATGTCACCTTCTGTCTGCCATGGAAAAAAAGTAGATCCACAGCACGGGAGGAGAATGCAGAACAGGTGGGGACAGAAAAAAAAGTATAACGAGGCTTCCTGAGAGCTTTCCAGTTCCCTGCGACTGAGGCCCCATTTCAGCTTGACTTCTGTATCCTGTGGGGCACCTTGCTTCTTATAATAAATTTTCCTCTTGAGTTTTGCTGACTTGAGATGGTCTCTTTCATATGCAACCGTGCTACCTTAACAAAGTGTTGCGTGCTGGACTAGTATGATGGCTAAAATCAGGTAAAACTGATCAGTTACAATAAAACCTCAGAAGTCACAAATGTGATGTTTATCAGCATAGTTTGTTATCCCCTGAACATCAAAGAGCTTGTGTGCATTTCTCCCATAGGTTCTTTTTGCTTATAAAACTTTAGACGTAGAAAGACATTTTTAAGATTATGTAGTTCTGAAATCACCCAATTCAGAAGAATTTTGTATAGTAGCTCCACCTTTTGGGTATAATTGACCCATTTGGGGAGAGGAGGACTGCATCGTATCTAATCAGCCTTTCTGTTGCTGGGTGTCCCCACTGTGGGAGTCCTGACAGGAGCCAGGTTCTGCATCCTTCTGAAGATGTCCAATGAAACCAGAAATTCTCCTCCTGGTTCCTGCCAGCTCAGGCACATAAGGGGTGCTGGACTTGGCCCACTGAATTTCCTGTCCTGATATTTGAACCCAGAAGCAGGGACAGGAGAACAGAGCCAGGAGTGAGCGTCCGGTTTTGGCAGCTCCAGAGCCAGGTTGCTCCTTCGATAAACGGCGGCTCCATGACCTCCACTCCATGACCTCCAGCTTCCATTGGTCCCTGCAAGTTTACCCACATGTTGTTTCTTCTTCTCTTCTCATGCATTTTTGGAACCAGCCATTACTTTTCAATACATTCATTTCATGTTGACGTTACCCCAATGCTGTTGCTGTTCCTTGCACCCAAGTCTTCTGGCTGACATCATAACCAAAATCCTTCCGTCCCCTCCCCCCCCCACGTCCTGCCAGAGACAGACAGCAGATTTCTCACGGTGTGTATGTAGCTCACTTCTTTTAAGAGGGTCTTATCGCTCTGGAATTTAGCTCACCTGCTTCCATGGAGATCTCAGCTTTCAAAGATGTTGCGGTCCTGTTGATTGGCCATTTTGCTTTCTTATCGTTCATAGGAGAGCAATATTTCCGTGCATCTTTCATCTGCCTAAGGGAAAGCGGATCTTCATAATTTTTTGAATGTAATTAATAAAACCCAGTCAATGACGGCTAAGCCTACAGGGCCATGTTCAGCAACAGATGTCTCTTATAGTAATGAAGTGGAAACAGTAGCAATAATCATGAGAGGAAAAGCCCCGCCATTAACACTGCCGAGAATGCTAAGAAGACTGTTTCATCAATACTGCTGCAGGCAGGAGGGTGGTTGCTCGGAAGGTTGGCATTGATGTATGTGCCCTCGGTGGAGCCATTCCAACTTCCTGTGCCTCAGTTTCCAAAATAAAACAGAGAAATCATGTAGTTTAATTTGTAATTTGACCACAAACGGATATCCTTGGGAGAAATTGGTCGGTGAGACCAGAGGAGAAGGTGGCAGTCCCCTTATAAGATAGCCCACATTTTATCCATCTGACTTAACAGAGAATTTTTTTAATTTTCTCAAGACACACTGAGTTTTCTCTCAGTGGGCAGAGCTATTAATTATCTCAAGCTTTTTTCCTTATGGGAGGTAACATGGCTTTGATACAAATCAAAGTGCTTCTTTCAAATTCTGGCTCGATTCCTTTGTTCCCTTTTCTTAGGTCTCCAGCTTCAGAGATGTCTAGCTGATGCTTCCATTTGTACTTCAGCACGTTTCTTTTCCAGAGCTAAATGGTAAATTCATACCTGATGTATTTGCTCTTGATAAAGTTCAAACAGTCATTTAAGTTTCTGCAGAAGCTTTTAGGTCTCGATTTCTGGGCAAGCATTTTACAAAGGCAAAGAGTTTTGTTCCTCTAGGAGACTTTCAATTTGGGCTTTAAGAACTTTATTTATTAGACTTTCTTTACTGTGTGTGTTCTAGTTTATTTCTTCTCTTTCTGCTTTTAGGAGAAAGCATTTACCTTAAAAGCGTAAATAGGCCCCTCAAAAGTGATTTTTCCTGATAGACAATGTGACGTTCATTATTCGATTCACTCTTTATATTTAATTTCAGATTTCCGCCTTTTCCATTATTGCCTCTAAGGACAGCAGGTGTATGTGTTATCTTTAGTAATGTTTCCATCAGAAGCTTGATCGTCTATCATTTAAGATTTGTGTTCTGGATTTGTTACGGTTTTGCCATTTTCTCCCGTCTGTCCAAGTCTCTCTCTCGTTCTATCTGTCCTTCAATTCTTGTGAAAGAAGTTTTAGATTTTTCCAAAGACCAGCATTTTTACTGAAACCATCTTCTAGTGCAGGAGTCCTCAAACTTTTTAAACAGGGGGCCAGTTCACTGTCCCTCAGACTGTTGGAGGACCAGACTATAGTTTAAAAAAAACTATGAACAAATTCCTATGCACACTGCACATTATCTTATTTTGAAGTAAAAAAACAAACGGGCAAAAACACCTGCATGTGGCCCTCGGGCCGTAGTTTGAGGACGTCTGCTCTAGTGTTTTCTTAGGTTGTGATTCATTCTTCTGTCAGGTTCTTAAGCTAATTTTTACTTTAGTGATTTAGAATTATCAGGCTGTGTCTTCTAGGGACCGGGAATACCCAGCTTTTACTGTGACCCATACACACATTGTGTCAAGGAGAGTGGAAACTCTCTTTCTACTTATTTTTTTTGAGAAGGTCTCTTTTATCTTTACATAAAGAGATAAAGCTTTTCAGATTATTATTAGCTGATGCCAAATTCAGTGTATCTAACTTGTTCAGAGAGCTGTCTTCTCTTGAAGGCAATGCAAAACTTTCTTAGTTTTATGATCTAGGTAAGCTTGTTAAGAATTTTATAATATTACCAACTTGCAAGAAAGTCTTTTGATTTCTTTCTTTCTTTCTTTTTTTTTTGGTTCCACTTCATGTATTTTTAAAAGACTATCAAGAAGACTTACAGTCGTCTTGCCAGAAATCCAGAGGCCCTGCTGTGGGCCTTCAGACATCCCACTGCTAAGGCAGAGGTTGGAAGTGCAGGTTCAAGGCCATCAGCAGGCCTGACACAGTATCCAAGGCCCCACGTGACTACCTGTGGTTGCGGGACCCCGGCTGAGGCACAGCAAGACCACACAGGCCACTGGGGAATGTTGAACGTGCAACCCACACGACCTCCTAGCAACTGGTGCAGACCAGGAAGGGAATGGAGAGTCGGAGGTCCTGATTGGATAGAGAGGTGCTGACAGCAGCTTTGCGTCACAATGACCAGGCAGGAGACCATGCGCTGCCACAGGTGACCGGCAGGGGGCGCCAAGGCCACCCGGCACTTGCCCCACGGAAAACGGAAAGGAGGTGGGATAATCGGTTTCTGTCTAGGTTGTTTCTGGTCCAGCCACAGGTACAACAAGGCCAGAAGGATAATGGGCTGCACAGACGCATTTGTTGAGTTTTTGGTTTTTTTTTTTTTCAGTTTGTTTTGTTTTTACTCTTTTGAAGGGTTTTCCCATCATACTGAGTATAATGGAGGTGGAACATATTTGAGGCACACTGCAATTGATGTATGATTAACACGCAGTGACCCCTCTTTATCTGTGGGGGTACATGCCAGCATCCCCCAAGTGGGTGCCTGAAACTGTGGCTAGGACAGAACCTTGTGCACACTTTGTTTTCTCGATCTCATAACCAAGACAGCCGCTGAGTGACCAGTGGCAGGGCAGCATACACAAGGCGGGGACAGGGGACAGGATCATTCACACCTTGGGAGGGATGGACCGGGATGGCCCCATAGTTCATCACACCACTCAGGATGGCTGGAGACTGAAAACTTATGTTTATTTCTGGAAGTTTCCATTTAATGTTTTCAGACCACAGTTGACCACGAGTTAATTGAAACCTCGAAAGGAAAGACTGTAGGTACAGGAGGGTGACTACTGTACAGGGAAATACACAGGCTGCAACAGTTTATTGTTAAAAAAAAATACATACACTTAAGTAGCCTACATTCCAATCAGAGCAAGAAATATTTCCATATCCAGAAAGTTCCCTCATGACATCCTCCTCTCAATCCCTCCTGCATTCTGGCATCTTACAGTATTTCCTCTGTTATGCTTGGATTCTTTTCTCATTATATGTTTTTGAGATTCACTGGTAGATAATGAGGATCGTGTCATTGCTGAAAGATATTCAACTGTGTAGATATACCCCAATTTGTATATTCACATCATGATTGGAATTTAAATTGTTTCTAATTAATTGTTATTAGGAATGAAGTTGCTATAAATATCCTCATACAGTTTTCTTTTTGTATGTGTATGTATGTATATATGTGTGTGTATGTGTGTATCTATACGCATGTGCACACACACACATATTACCTAGGGGATGAATTGCTAAGTCGTAGAATATGTATATAATTAATTTTAAAAAGAAACTGCCAACTAATTTTCATCAGCAATGCAAGAGAGTATCAGTCGATTCACATTTTCACCAACATTTGTTGTTGTCAGACCTTTTCATTTTAGTTATTCTGGAAGATTTGTAATGGTTTCTCATTGTAGTTTTGATATAACTTCCGATGATGACTAACGATGTTACACAACTTTTCTTGTGCTGCTTAGGCCTTTTATATACTTTCCTTCATAAACAGGGTGTTCAAGTTTTTGGATCATTTTAAAATTGTATCATCTTTTAATCTTGAGTGGTAAGACTTTGTAACAAATTTGTATAAAATGTGTCAGTAGACATATTCAATTTTCCTCCCAATCTAGGCTTATCTATTAATTTTATAAACATATCTTTAATCAGCATAAATATTTATTAAAAATTCATAAAGTGAATTATTTTATTCTTTTAGTGTTTGAAATTTTGAGACCCGATTAAGACGTCTTTGCTAAACTCAAGACAGCAAAGTTATTTTTTCTTCTGTTTCTCTTAGAAGCTTTATTCTTTTAATTTTAACGCTTGGGTCTGTGATCTTTCTCAAAATCAAGTAGGTTATTTCACTTCCAACCTTAAGAATGAAAAAGAAACCATGAATGATCTCTTTCTCCATATTTTTTTTACCTTATCTTTGTGCAAAGAAAACAAAGAGAAATGTACCACATAAAGAGTGATTTCAACCATCTAAGGAAGAAAAGTCACAATCACATAGACAACAAATTAAGACACAATATCCATCTCACTAGTTGCAAAGGGTTTTATTCTTATGGGCATTGTAGATATGTAAAAAGAGCTTGTATTGTTTCGGCCACTGTAGAACCTAAAGAGACAACCCCACATTTTGAAATGAAATTTTAAAAAATCATCAGAAAAAAAAAATGACCTGTGTAGCAATGACATTTTGAAGGCATCGCGTAGAACCTGAAGACTGCCCGCGTCCTGAATTGGTAACATGATTGCTTTCTTGGACTGGAAGGGTAATTTCCTTAATGGACTTGAAAGCCTTTGGATGGATCGTTAGTTCCCATCTGGAAAGTGACAGTGTCCTGATCATGTCATGTAAGGGCACCCCATGAAATAAAAGCCCAGGCCCTGCTCTTCAGATTTCCCTCAATTAAAAAAAAAAATCTGAAAAAAGAGAGAGAGAGAGGAAAAAAAACCAACCCAGCAAATACACCACCATAATTTATCTAGATTTTATAAATCTATGAAAAGATTATTGATGGGGGCTAAACAATTTGAATGCAAAAATCTGATATGTAGTGTTTGCACTTTGCATAAAAACCTCAAAATAAAAGTGCTCATCCTTCCCCGACTGTCATTTTCAGAATGCCACTTTTCCTTCTCTTTCTGAAACCGCATTTACTGTGTCGCGTACAGGTGCAGTGAGATCTGGAGGGAACTTGCTGGGTCTGGGCTCAGGCGTTCTAAGATTTCTCTAAACTTTATATACGTATATGTAAGATTAAAAAGGTTTATCTGAATTATCTGAAGTGGTGGTAAATAACAGGTGGGGAGAGTGGATTTGCCAAGCCAGGAGAGCACTTTGGCTCATTGCCTGCCGGCCTTTTAGGCTCGGGAAAGCAAGCAGCTTCACACAGCAGCTTCACAAGACGATTTCCACGTTGTGTGTCCATTATCACAGGATGCCTGTGGGCTCAGAGAAAGAACACGGTTGGCAGGCTGCGATCATCAAGACACCCTGAGTCATTCAAACTCTGGATTGCCAGAGATTCCCTTTCCACGCTGAAGCAAAAGGTGGCGTTTGCCAAGATGGCAAAGGTGATGCGACGAGTTTGACGAGGTGGGCCCGTGGCCCCCAGATAGTTTGTGAAGCATTTAGCAAACAATGCAGCCCCCAGTCTTGAAACAGCCGTGGCAGTCCCCAGGGATCCAAGCAGAACCCTCAGCTGTGCTGGAACGGAGAAGCGGCTTTTAGAAAGCACAGACCTCGTTTGCTGATTGTGTTTCAGCTAACATGTGCGTGAACTTCGCCGTGTGGGCGGGCACAGCAGTGGGCTCTGGGCTATTTCTCCACCAAATTATTTGAAAAGCAGCGTCAGAGACAGAATAACTCAATTAAAAAGAGTAATAACCATAAAAAAAGAAAAGATAAAAAAAAAAAAAAAAACACCAGTGATGATTTCCTTTGGCTAACTGAGGAATTCTTCCAACCAGGCATCAGCCATCTCCTCGCAGACTCCTTTTACAGCAAATGCTTCATTCTCTGGACAAATTGCAAAAAAATGTTAAACTTCGCAGGACTCAATTCTTAACCCCCATTTTAAAAATTAAAGGAACAGCTATACCTGTGTTAAAGACTGGGCCCCATCACCTGTGATTTGCATGTGGCTCACAAACACCCCACAGTCCCAGGGGCAAATGACACAGGAGAGCTTCTAGGTTGACAGTTTAATGAGGCCCGAGAGGAATCAGGGTTTAGGTTGTGATGAGGAAATCTATGGTAATGCGATGGGTGACCTGAACAGCTCCGGTATGAATAGCTCAATCATCAGTCGTTCGTAACCATGGAAATGTCCCAGGTGACTCCTCTGCGCCCTTTCAGCTCTCACCCTTGGACATGCCAACAGCTCCACGGAGCCCACGATGAGGCCCGAGGAGCCCAGCGTCTCTCATTTAGCCATCCCTCCCTAATAAATTAGTGTCTCATTTTCTTATTCTGAAAATCTTGCTTTGCCTACTATCATTTTATTACTATTATTTCAACAACAATTTCTATCTTTTTTTTTTTTTTAACTCAGAATCTAAGTAGATTCTTCCTTGCTTGGCAATTATTTTTCCCATCCCTGTTTTCTTGACAATTGCATCTTGAGCTTGAGAGCAGCCAATTATTTCCATGACTTTATTGGGACTACCTGTTGCTTTTCGATCTCAGTACACAAGTTTGGAATTAGAAAAATAAACTCTGGTGCTCTGTAAACTTAAGCAGTTCTGCACGTGCGTTTAACTGTTATGAGTAAGGCTGAGCATCGCTGTGATGTGAAGAACACATAATACATTTTTTTTTTACAGATCTGTATTTTTTATTAGATAGGCTTCAATTACAATATAAAATTTCATTTAACTGAATATTCTCTCCTGGGTTTTTGTTGTGTTGTGAATTCCACATAATACATTTGATAAGTGCATGGACATACACATTCATTTATTTCATGTCCTGCAACTGAATTCTTCTTTACTTTGGCCCTTCTTAAGCCATTCTGAAATATTAGGCAATGCACCCAAATCATTTTCAAGTGCAGCTAGTCAGGCCACTGCTCGAGATAACATCATTGAAACCATAATGCGTTAGAACACCACAGTGGGTGAGGCAGCGCAGCACTAGCAGGCTTGAGGTCTTTGGAAAAAAAAGATGAATTATAGTTCAGTCCTGCTAGGAAGACATAATGCCCCTGATATCTTTTTTTAAATGATCTGCTGAAGCCCTGAAGATGTGGGAGAACTTTAGCATTGGCAATAATTACAGTGGGCAGATAGCAATCTGGCACCTACTCAGAGTAGCTGAAATGGAATTCCTAAGTGTCAAAAACTGCCTGCTTCGGTAAAAGTGGAACAATGCAATCGTTCTGTCACGGTCTAACAGGAAACTGTCAACGCAAATGGCATCCGCATCTGCGGTGGGCCTGTGAGGAGCATCTGAGAGGAGAAATTATCCACGTCACAGAGCACTCCCCTAAGAGACAGGGCACGCTGGGTAAGAA